AAATAATGTGAAGGTAGTGTTTTCTGATTTCATTGTTTGTTCTCTGTTGTCGCGACTCTGTGGTTGCGTGCGACGTTGTATTTGTGCGCACGCATGTTATTACGTCGCTCATTCTTCTTTGTTACGTTAAAATGATACATACGTTACCATAAAGCGTGTAAATATTTTTTATTCTATTTTCATTGATTGTCTTTCATTTTGTGCGCCAACACTATTTTAATGAAACACAAATAAAATGACATAAGTGTTGGCCCACAAAGCGAAAAAAACCCAATGAAAATAGATTAAATATTTACACGCTTAATGGTAACGTATGTATCGGTAACGTATGTATCATTTTAGCGTAACAAAGAAGAATAAGCGACGTAAAAACAAGCGTGCGCACATATACAACGTCGCACGCAACAACAAAGTCACGACAACAAAGAAAAAAACAATGAAATCAGAAAACAATACCTTCACGTTATTTGGTAAGGTATATGTATCATATTTACATAACAAATAAGAACTAGACTGCAACTGGCTGAAGCCAGCGGCGGAGGATTCCCCTGCAAAATAGGTGTGGAAATGCTCTTACAAGGTCATGTGAAGGTCATGGGTTAAATTTTACCCAATATTCTAAAAGAGCATGTGCGAATTGGGGGGGGGNCGCACAAAACGAAATACAACCAATGAAAATAGTTACCATGTGGCGTGTAAATACTTATACTTGTATTTTTATTGTTTATTGTCCGTTTTGTGAGCAAACGCCTTATTCTTACGGTATACTACGTTACAATAAGAAGGAAAAGCAGGGCAAGTAAAGATTGCTTGTCTTGAAACCGTTTGTTGAAATTGTTTATATGATACATACGTCACCGATACATACGTTACCAAATAATGTGAAGGTATTGTTTTCTGATTTCATTGTTTGTTCTCTGTTGTCGCGACTCTGTGGGAGCGTGCGTCGTTGTATATGTGCGCACGCATGTTATTACGTCGCTTATTCTTCTTTGTTACGTTAAAATGATACATACGTTACCATAAAGCGTGTAAATATTTTTATTCTATTTTCATTGGTTGTCTTTCCTTTTGTGCGCCAACACTATTTCCATGAAGTACAAATAAAAGACATAAGTGTTGACCCACAAAGCAAAGGAAAACCAATGAAAACAGAATAAATATTTACACGCTTCATGGTAACGTATGTATCGGTAACGTATGTATCATTTTAGCGTAACAAAGTAGAATAAGCGACGTAAAAACATCGGTGCGCACATATACAACGTCGCACGCAACCACAGAGTCGCGACAACAGACAAAAAACAACGAAATCAGAAAACAATACCTTCACGTTATTTGGTAAGGTATATGTATCATATTTACATAACAAATAAGAATGAGGGCCGTAAATCGAAGTGCGCACATATACAAAGTCACACCCACTCACAAAGTCGTGACAACAGAAAACAATCAATGGAATCAGAAAACAACACCTTCATATTATTTGGTCACTTACATATCTGTAACGTATAAGTCAAAGGGACAATTTTCACAGATTGTTGAAAGCAAGAAATCTTATTTGTCTCGTTTTCTTTTAAATAAATGTAGCATTAAAACATAAGTGCTGGCGCACAAACCGAAATACAACCAAAGAAAATAGAATAAATTAATATTTACAAGCTTCATGGTAACGAATGTATCGGTAACGTATGTATAATATAGACGTAACAAACAGAATGAACGAACTACAAACATGCGCACATATACAAAGTCGCACGCACTAACAAAGCCGTGACAACAGAAAACAATCAATGGAATCAGAAAACAACACATTCATATTATTTGGCCATGTATATATCAGTAACGTATGTATCATATGAACAATTTTCACAAATAGTTGAAGCCAAGAAATCTCATTTGTCTTTTTTTCTCTTATTTTCATTTTAATGTAACATTAAGCCATGAGTGTTGGCGCACAAAACGAAATACAACCAATGAAAATAGTTACCATGTAGAATTTAAATACATTTATTTTAATTGTTTGCCGTCCGTTATGTGAGCAAACGCCTTATTCTTACGGTACACTACATTACAATAAGAAGGAAAAGCAGGGCAAGTAAAGATTACTTGTCTTGAAAAAGTTTGTTGAAATGGTTCATATGATGCATACGCCACCGATACATACGTTACCAAATAATGTGAAGGTAGTGTTTTCTGATTTCATTGTTTGTTCTCTGTTGTCGCGACTCTGTGGTTGCGTGCGACGTTGTATATGTGCGCACGCATGCTATTACGTCGCTCATTCTTCTTTGTTACGTTAAAATGATACATACGTTACCATAAAGCGTGTAAATGTTTTTTATTCTTTTTTCATTGATTGTCTTTCATTTTGTGCGACAACACTATTTTAATGAAACACAAATAAAATGACATAAGTGTTGACCCACAAAGCGAAAGAAAACCAATGAAAATAGATTAAATATTTACACGCTTAATGGTAACGTATGTATCGGTAACGTATGTATCATTTTAGCGTAACAAAGAAGAATAAGCGACGTAAAAACAAGGGTGCGCACATATACAACGTCGCACGCAACAACAAAGTCACGACAACAAAGAAAAAAACAATGATATCAGAAAACAATACCTTCACGTTATTTAATAAGGTATAGGTATCATATTTACATGACAAATAAGAATGAGGGCCGTAAAACGTAGTGCGCACATATACAAAGTCACACCCACTCACAAAGTCGTGACAACAGAAAACAATCAATGGAATCAGAAAACAACACCTTCATATTATTTGGTCACTTACATATCTGTAACGTATGAGTCAAATGGATAATTTTCACAGATTGTTGAAAGCAAGAAATCTTATTTGTCTCGTTTTCTTTCAATTTAATGTAGCATTAAGACGTAGGTGCTGGCGCACAAAACGAAAGACGACCAAAGAAAATAGAATAAATAAATATTTACAAGCTTCATGGTAACGTATGTATCGGTAACGTATGTATCATATTGACGTAACAAACAGAATGAACGACCTACAAACGTGCGCATATATACAACGTCGCTCGCACTAACAAAGCCTTGACAACAGAAAACAATCAATGGAAACAGCAGAAAACAACACATTCATATTATTTGGTTATGTATATATCGGTAACGTATGTATCATATGAACAATTTTCACGGATAGTTGAACGCAAGAAATCTTATTTGTCTCGTTTTCTTTCATTTTAATGTAACATTAAAACATAAGTGTTGGCGCACAAAACGAAATACAACCAATGAAAATAGTTACCATGTGGCGTGTAAATACTTATACATGCATTTTTTATATTTTATTGTCCGTTTAGTGAGCAAACGCCTTATTCTTACGGTATACTACATTACAATAAGAAGGAAAAGCAGGGCAAGTAAAGATTACTTGTCTTGAAAAAGTTTATTGAAATTGTTTATATGATACATACGTCACCGATACATACGTTACCAAATAATGAGAAGGTATTGTTTTCTGATTTCATTGTTTGTTAGAGATCTGTTGTCGCGACACCGTGGTTGCGTGCCACATTGTATATGTGCGCACGCATGTTATTACGTCGCTCATTCTTCTTTGTTACGTTAAAATGATACATACGTTACCATAAAGCGTGTAAATATTTTTAATTCTATTTTCATCGGTTGTCTTTCCTTTTGTGCGCCAACACTCTTTTCATGAAGCACAAATAAAAGACATAAGTGTTGGCCCACAAAGCAAAGGAAAACCAATGAAAATAGAATAAATATTTACACGCTTCATGGTAACGTATGTATCGGTAACGTATGTATCATTTTAGCGTAACAAAGTAGAATAAGCGACGTAAAAACAAGTGTGCGCACATATACAACGTCGCACGCAACCACAGAGTCACGACAACAGACAAAAAACAATGAAATCAGAAAACAATACCTTCACGTTATTTGGTAAGGTATATGTATCATATTTACATAACAAATAAGAATGAGGGTCGTAAATCGAAGTGAGCACATATACAAAGTCACACCCACTCACAAAGAAAAAAAAAACAATTAATGGAATCAGAAAACAACACCTTCATATTATTTGGTCACTTACATATCTGTAACGTATGAGTCAAATGGACAATTTTCACAGATTTTTGAAGGCAAGAAATCTTATTTATCTCGTTTTCTTTTAATTAAATGTAGCCTTAAGACATAAGTGCTGGCCCACAAACTGAAAGACAACCAAGGAAAATAGAATAAATTTATAATTACAAGCTTCATGGTAACGTATGTATCGGTATGTATCATATTGACGTAGCAAACAGAATGAACGACCTACAAAGATGCGCACATATACAGAGTCGCACGCACTAACAAAGCCGTGACAACAGAAAACAATCAATGGAATAAGAAAACAACACATTCATGTTATTTGGGCATATATATATCAGTAACGTATGTATCATATGAACAATTTTTACAGATAGTTGAAGGCAAGAAAACTTATTTGTCTCGTTTTCTCTCATTTTAATGTAACATTAAGACATAAGTGTTGGCGCACAAAACGAAATACAAGCAATGAAAATAGTTACCATGTAGCGTGAAAATACTCATATTTTTATTGTTTGTTATCGTTTTGTGAGCAAACGCCTTATTCTTACGGTATACTACTTTACAATAAGAAGAAAAAGCAGGGCAAGTAAATTAAGATTACTTGTCTTGAAACCGTTTGTTGCAATTGTTTATATGATACATACATCACCAATACATACGTTACCAAATAATGTGAAGGTATTGTTTTCTGATTTCATTGTTTGTTCTTTGTTGTCGCGACTCTTTGGTCAATCGGCAATCCTCGGCTGATTCCGCAAGCTCCATTATAACATTGTCGAGTGCGGAGACATCCGAGTAGTTCTGAGTGACACTTTGGTTGCGTGCGACGTTGTACATGTGCGCACGCATGTTATTACGTCGCTCATTCTTCTTTATTTTATCTTTAATTTACTTACTTTCAAAGTTGATCTCAATTACTGAGGCTACTTTAGCCATGACGTTACCAAGCAGGGAAATAAAAAGTACCTAAAACGTAATACATTGCAATCTGCAGATGTTAACATCTGCAATTATCTTACCATATGGAATTCTGAACAAAAATCATATGAATAAATAAATTCAAAAAGTGGCGTTATACTATCTAATCACAGGTGTTTAATCTGTTTTTCTTTTTACGAAACACTGACCACAACAAAAAGAGTGAGTGATAACAGGGACGAACTCGTAATGTTCACGAACGTGTGGTTGAAGCCTTGATAATGGCATTTGTGCATGCATGTCTGAGGTTTTCCGTGTACTAGCCAGTTATTTCAAACACACACAAGCACATGATTTGATATAATTTGTAAGTTAATAAATCTCAAAGACATGCTACATCCTTTACAAAAAAAATTACAAAAAACGAATTGCCCTCAGCCCCCACCCCCCACAAAAATATATTTTATTATTTTTATTTTAATTACATAAACATATTCGAGTACATTGTGTGTCGTAGAGGGAGCTTTTCTGTTTGAATGCTAAGAGAAGACCACAGGACCACAGAGTAAATGGTCAGTTCGTGACTTATCCAGGGTGCTGTGGTAACCAGCCCAGCTGTAACCCACCTCACTATTTACAGCTATTCTTATATTATCCAGGGATCATCTGCTGACCAGGAAACCGTATGGATACCAAAGAGGGTTGGCCGTGTTTTCAGTGAAGCAATGAAAAGTTATAATTAATTTTTTTTGTCCCATGCGTGAGATTCACAATTTTTCGCCCCATTTTAACTATAGACATACGTAATAAATGGTGATCACATTTAATAAAGACAAATTTTGATAGTCACACATACTGAGATTCCAGCTTGAAAAAAAAACTTCTAAATGCAGGGTTTCATTCCCATATAAATGAGGTTGGGCCCCGGGCCAGAAGGACAGTCTTAGACAGTAATCTTTGTACAAAGACTGTGGTTGGTATTTTTCTCATCTTGGTAAAATGCAGTTTAAGCTGGGTGTTAGCTTTGTGCTTTTGTTGGTGGCCCTTTCATTCGTAGAGGTAAGGTATTGATTGGTTTATTTTCAGTCTCGGAGGATCTAGAGTTATCTTTTGTACACGTGTAAATGGACATCCATTCCTGTTTTAATTTAGTTATATCAGCACATGAGGACTGGTTGACGGACTCGTGATGAGTGTTTCATCCCTAGTAGCTTTATATATATTTAAGATAGACAGTGCTAAAATGATTTTATTTCTCAGTTCTGTGCATTAAGTGAGCCTTTGAAAAAACTGTTATCCATGTTTGCAGCTCTCTCTCTCTCTCTCTCTGACTAGTACATGTAGCAAATGATCCACTTAGACCGATGATGTCTAAAGCCCCGGCGGGGTTTGTTACTTTTATTTTTTATCTTTAGGCTCGGTTTCGACCCAGAGCTTGTTATTTGCCTGCAGACCCTGGTAACTGCTATGGGTATTTTCCAAGATACTATTTTAACGGATTTATCTGTCGCAGATTTATCTACGGCGGCTGCAGAGGCAACGGTAATAACTTCCCAACCCTTGCTGCGTGTCTGAGAACTTGCTTCTTTAAGTTCTAAGTAAGTGCCCTTACTTCCTCTTCCGTGCGTTTGCTTGTATCCTTGATTTGTCATACTTCTCTTTTCCTCGTCGCTTTCTCCTCCTTTCTCTTTTCTTCCATTTGGCTCTCTTCTTTTCTTATTCACGGCTAATTTTCTTTAAAATCTTTGGATACTTAATAATATATAAGGGTCTGCATCGGCACGCACTTTGCAAATCAGTTATGACATGATATGGATACTTATTTTCTATCTGTATATGTTAAGCTTGTCATGCCTACATGGAGCATGCACATGCCTATAATTGAGCTCATGTTTGCGCCTAGGCCTATACCTCCCTTATACAGCCGATTATACATGTAGATAAATATAGATTCGATACGTGACGTTATTGATATATATATACTCTACTTTATAAACCCAGAGGAATTTCTTACAAAGCTTTCTGTGTTTACACGGGGATCAAATGCATTAAAGAATATCGTTTGATTTAGTACTAAAGAACAGTGTCGTCCGTCCTGTTCGTCGTAGTACCCAATTCAGACCGCCAGACGGCAGTACGGTCGCCATCGTGACAAGCTGCAATCCTTCAAATTTTATTTCCCGTTTGGTTGGTTGGGACGGTCATTTATCATAAGTCTCGCACGAAGCCCTTTCAGCGGTCATTCGTTTAATTAGACGACTATTAATCAATCTGTGCTTAACCTGCGGGAAAGCATCCCAAATGGCGACGATTCCTTTTAACAAGCAAGCTCCTATAGGGCGCTTCTAGTATAAATCGCTTTCAATTCAAAATGTCTTTTATTCTTTTTGTACAGGTGCAGCTTTGATCAGCCCAAGTGCACTCACGCCTGAGGAAAAGCAACAGCAGACATCTCTGGAAATCATTTCAAGATACTTACTGTCAGGTTTATTTTACACGCTGAGTGAGAATAAAAGCTAATGCTGCTCTTTATATCTCAATCCACTTCATTTGTGTTTTGTCGTGAATAGTTTGCCAAGTTTGCTTGACGTTTGCTTGACGAATGATTTAAAGGAATTAAAATACGAAAAGTATCTACCTATTTGCAGAAGTGATTATATAATTTTTCTCTAAAATTTCATGACATGGGGAATAACCGTCATATTTATGGATTTTTAAGTCTCTTAAGTTGTTGGGTTATATATTCATATGGGTTATATACTCATATTCAGCGGAGCACGAACATTTTGATGAAATAAATCACTAATGCTGGAATATGCCTGTGCGTGAGATCCTTAGGTCCTTAGGGACTATTTATGGAATTTCCCGTTTGTCGCTGATAGCGATATTCCAAAAACAATACATGTACATAGAATCATATTATAATGGTAGCTTCTTCCAATAACAGTTTAAGATCTGAGTTATGACCACTCTGATATTTCTGACATATTTATATCACGCCAATATTTCGTACTGAGAGTAGAACACAGCTGATGAAATTCTTTAATGTTGTAATATATGGACATAATTCCATGTTCAATCCATTCAAATTCATAAACAAATTGACATAAATATACGTTTTTATAATTGAGACACCTGTTTCGAGAACGTCGGAGGCGTGTTTGGTGATAATACTCTACACAGACGGCAGCTGTCTTATATTAACATCTTGTAAAATGAATACAAAAATTATGTCGATTATTTATTATTATAAAACTTTAAGTGTATACGCTTATCTTCCACATCGGCTGCTTCCCTTTGAGAAAAGTGATAATTGTCTGTTGGCCTCTCGAAGAAAATTCGTACCCTGCGCATGTACCTGTAGCACCACGATTTGGGGTCTTTGTTTGGTAAGTTACTCTGTGATCAAAAATTTCCAGTCATCAAATTATTTCAGTGCTGATTGCCATGTGAACATAATGGTTACTAAATTTTC